GAGCGAGGATCCTGCATGGGCCGTCGCCCGAGCCTGCTGCCGACAGCGCAGCTTGGATCTGGGACGCGTTGGCATCCGCTATGAGGACGGTGGGGGTGGCGCCCTGCCCTTCCTCGGGAATGGTTCTGTTGCACACCAGTTCCTTGATCTGCTCATAGGCGCTAAGGCCTGCCATAGCTATGCTGGTGCCCGTATTGTCCGCGTGACTGTCTCCTAGCAGTGGCCCTCGGGTGATTGCCAGGTCCGCCCCTACCTCCTAGGCTGCCGCCATGAGTAGGGGGGCCGGGAAGGCCGGCGGACCTCTCCTTCTGATTTCTCCCGGCGGATGCCTGGCTAGGAGGGAGGCCCATCTTGACTGGGTGATGATTGGGATTGAGCGCATTCTCTCCTGTCTGGAGGGAGGAGCCGGGGCATTGCTGACTCCTGACCCTCCTTCCTCCGTTCGTCTGGAGCATACTTTCGCTATCATGATCCGCCTCCATTTCTTCAGGTTGCGACGGGGGGCGCCTATGGACTGCTACGTGCTCGCGTAGGTGTTCGGTCTACGCATGGAGACCAGGTCGGCTCGCAGGCAGTCCAGCTCCGCGGCTAAGGAGAGAATCGCGGCTGCTAACTCACTATATGAAATGGGGGGCCTTATCGGGGCCAGGAGCCCGTCCCTGAGCTGCAGCATTGCCTGCGCTGCGTTGGGGGGTGGAGCCCCAGGAAGGAGTGCTGCGACGCTACCTCTGTCGTTGGCTCTGCAGTATGGGCATCGAATAGGCATGGAGTTCCTTCCTTCTCGGAACACCCCAGGCTGGCTCAGCCTCCATTGGTGGAAGGCAGTGCTTGCGGAACCGATGTCCGCAGAGAACTGGGGTTTCCGCGATCCCGCTGAGCTCCCCAGCGCAGATAGCGCATGTTTGCTCTCCTTCCCCAGCGTCCTATCCTGGCCTCTGTTCTGGCTCACCAGCTCTAAGGACTCTTTCGGCGTGTCCAGGCGGGTCGGTGGCATTGGCACTGGCTGTGCCTAGGCTTTCTATGTGAAGTCGCGTGGTCGTAGCGGCCTCTTCCTCGGTTAGACATGCCTTGAGACCTGTGGTGCGGGGGGGAGGCGTATCTGTCCGTTCCCAAGCGGGGGGTGCGCACCCGGGGTCTGCTCCCCCCCTTCACTCAGTATGCCTCTGATGTCGTCGGGGGTGTGCATGTCTGCTGTCTGCAGCCATCTGGCAAGGACCTCGAACGGTCTGATATCCAGGCCACGCACCTGGAGCACTGGTCGTACGAGGGGGGTGCAATGCGGCGCCAGACAAAGCCACATGGCCCATGATATCCAGCTCCCTGGCTCAAGTTGGGCCCTGGCTTCTCTGAGCAGTCCTTCTGCCACCAACTGAGCGTCTGCGCCGCTGAAGGAAGCGCGGTCTTTACATTGTTGTCTGGATCTCCCTGAGGCCTCGTCGTCCCTATGCGTCGCGTCTAGTGAACGGATGAAGGCGCCCAGCGTGTCTCCTCTGCTGAGTGCCCGCGGGGGCGATCTGGGGTTGCTGCTTGCATCATCACCAGGGATCTGCCCGATGTCTTCGCGCCATGGTGCGGTGGTGCTCTGCGCCCTTTCTCCGGGGGGGGAGCAGGGCAGCCGCCCGTCCTGTTGCGCCGGCCCCCGCGCTGTCACTCCCGGCGTGCACCCTGGCACTTCGCGCACGCGTCCCGCGCTCCACTGCGCCCCTGTCTGCTGTTAGGATCGCCTCCTGGAGTTGACCGAGTGGGTCGAGCCAACTCATGGCGCGCCCCTGGAGATCTGGGTCGATGTACCCCCCCGGGAGGGGGGGCGCGATCGCTCTTCCTGTCTGGCGGGATAGGGTAGCCGCCGTCAGCCCGAGGCGGTGGCGCGCTCCTTCTAGTGAGGTAATGCCTAATTGGTGCCGTCGCGACGCTGCGAGTGTCACTAGGGATCGTGGGATCCCCGTGGCCTCGAAGACGTGCTCGAGTGTGGCTCGTCCACTTTCTGTGGTTGAGTACCAGATAAACGGGGCCAGGAGCCTGCTCCAGGTCATGTTGTTGGGGATGCTATCGTTCGCTACCTGGGCGCGGATCTCGAGGATCTCCTGTAGCAATCGTCGTGCGTTGCCCCCCCTCTCTGGGGGGAGCTGAGTGCGCGTGCTCTGCCGGTGTCCATCGGCCGTACGAGCCTCGTTTTCTTCTCTCCTCGTGGCCTGCTGGTTGCTCCCGCGAGCCACTGGGGCGCCCACCCCCGCGCCCTTGTGCGCAGTGCGATCGCGAGGCGCGTCGCTTCACCGCAGGGGCTGCCTGGCGCTAAGCGGTGTGCAATGATTCTTCCCTCCCTTCTGGCCGCGGCGATTATGGCTGCGCAGGCTACTTCTGTCGCCTCAGCACTTGCGCTCGAGGTCTCGATGGAGGCTCTGTCCGCGGGGGTGACGAAGAGGGCTTGTTCCAGGAAGCTGCCTCCCATTTCTCTGCGGAGCCATGCCGTGTCCTCCGTGGGGAGACCATCAAGGCATTGCTGGTATCTTGCCCTCGCCGCGTCCAAACCCCCCTGGTCTGCGGTCTCCCAGTGGACGACCCGGCACAGCGCGGCATTGGCGATGTCACACAGGTTGGGAAGCTCCGCGGGGAAGACGAGCATCTGGAGGTTGCGGAGCATGCGCGCTGAAGTCCAGCAAGGACCTCGGAAGAGTGTCTTGCAGACGTTGCGCGCAATGCCATCTCATCCACTAGGGGGTTTCAGAAGCTGCGCGAGAAAGGTGCGAACCGGGACGGTGTACATCCGATAAGCGAGGATGGTGTTGAAGGAACCGCATCCGACTCGCCGCCACAGCATGGCGCGCTCCTGGAATTTGGCGACCGCCTTCGCCCACGAGCGGTCTCCCCTGCCTGGCCCCATGTAGAAGCCAAGGTAGGTAGCACGCTGGTGGATGGAGAAATCGCTGAAATTGAGGACCTGCTGTTGGAGGTCGCTCCAGACGGCCGCCGAAGGCGAGAGATGGCGCGGCATTATGTGAAGATGCTCTCTAGAATGCGCGCCTCGACGAGGGCGCTCGGGAGCACGACGGCGATGTCGTCCGCATATGCCCGGGACGTGATCAGCAGAGCCATGCGCAGGGCCCGCCGAATGACGTCCGAGATAACCGCGAAGAGTAGCGAGAACGGGCAGCCGAGCCGTACTCAAGAAAACAGCGTAGAACCCTTTATGGCGTAACCTCCAAGAGAAGGCTGCACGCACTGTTCCAAGAACGGCCAATCACTACGACGCATATCCAAGGGGACCACCCTTTAGCTTTCAGGAAGTCGTGCAAGAAGTTGTGCGAGACGCTCGGCAAGGCGGCCTCGAACTCGAAGACCACCGTGGCAACTGCTGCAGGGGACGCAAACGCATGTCGTAACATCGCGGCCTCCACGTCGACGACGTTGGCGAACATCGACTGCCCCTTGATGAACCCCTGCTGATCGCCGGCGATACCCGGGGCGATCTGCGGCTCGATGCACAGCCCGACAGCGCTGTAGATGAGCCTGTTGTCGGCGTTCGCTATGTTGAGGGCGGTTCCTTTTCTCAAAAAAATGTTCTCGCCTTAGCGCCGCGTCCACTCGTCTGAAACATTTGCAAGAGTTTCAAGGATTCCCATGGTCAACGTGCTAGAAATAATATTTTGGAAGGACTCGAGATTTCGAGGGCGCATCAGTTACGTTGGTTTGCGGTATTGAGGTCCCAGGTGCATATGGTGTTCTGGCACGACTCTGGATCGTCAAGACGCAACAATCATGTTGATGCATGGCGTGGGAGTCCCGAGAGTGGTGTTTTGGCACGCTTCAGGGTCTTCAAACTGTTGTCTCCTAACGAGCCAGTTCCCTGTGGAAATGAACCCTTGTTGGCCTATGAAGAGCGAGCTTGGAGGGAGGGTTTATTCCAACATCGTTGGTGAGTCTCGAATTTACACTGGTCCTCCTCCTACTCCTCCTCCTTCTCCTCCTCCTCCTCCTCCTCTCAGAGACCCTGGGTACAGAAGGCACGCTCGCCACGACGGCGGTGGCGAAGGCAGCTGAATTGGTCCACCCATCGATGTCGTCATCCTTGCATTCTTCCCCCATCAAGGCACCTTCGTGCTCTTTCAGAGGGGGAGAACCTCCTCCCGTCTTCCTCACTCCTTTACTTCCCTCCATCCCTCCTCCTCCCTGACTCCTCCCTCCCTCCCTCCTCCCTCCCTCCTTCGTCGTCCCTCCTCCTCCTTCCTTCCTCTATCCGTCCTGGCACTGGCATCACATATCAGTCCAGATGTTCACGCAAAGTGTTCCCCCGTAGCCAGGGCTTTGGAGTCAGGGACCGCTGGCGCAAGGTCGGCACTGGGAAAACAATTGCTGGCCGACGAAGCTCCCCTCTCACCCAGCTGCGTACCCCGCGAAATGACAGTAAAACAAACAGACTCCCTCATCCTCATCATACACCTCTTTCTCCCTTGCTCTTCCCTCCCTCCCTCCCTCCTCCCTCCCTCTTCTCCTCGCTCCTCCCTCCTGCTCGTTCTTTCTTCCTTCCTCAGTCCCTCCCTTCCTTTCTCCCCTTGCAAAACACTCACAATGTAGGTTCGCCTCCCAATATGGATGCGTTTTTCACCAACTACGGACGTAATTTCCCCCACAACTCAAATTCAGACATCGGCAACGAAGGTTTCTGATCCTCTGAGTCCCTCCCAATCTCCCAATAGCTGCTCGTGCAGACCCACTCTTGTGCATCGCGTCGTCCAATTCTGGCCCCAGCCCTGACCCTATCCCGCCTCCCAAACCCAGTCGCGTCGTGAATGAATAACAACGAAAAGTGTTTGCACATGTTCTGACTCCAGGTGCCTATACGGGCCCCGTCACAAACTACTCAGGATGAAAAACTGGTCAATGGGAAGGGATCAAAGCCTCTGGGGATCCATGGTGTGGAGGAAGCACGACGCGGGAAATCTGCCACACCCCCTCGCTCCCCCTGCCATGTGCTCATGCTGGGTTGTATCCAATGGAGGCACCACTCCGCCAGTCACTCCGAACGCAACCATCCAGTCCAGGATTTTGTACTGTTTGCCCATGCAGGATCTCAGCGCCAGCATCAGCAGTACCTCTGTCAAATATTGGAAATCCAATGTTTCAAAACTTGACATACTGTTTGTTGCAAGCTTTGTATAGGAGCGTGTCCACACTCCCTATCACCCTAAATTGATCTCCCCGCCAACTCCTGGTCACGAAGGGGGGGGGGAACGAATTTCAGCTCGGGCAAATGGGAGCCAAACTCGAAAAAGGCAGTCGAGGCCTTCAGGGCACCGCGCAGCGCTCTTAGGCCAAATCGGATCGCTTATTCCGTTGGATTCGAATTCGCTGGTCACGTGCGGTGACAATGTCGATCGCAAGCGAACCCGCGCTTGCCTTGAAAAAAGCAAGCCGTACGGTTGTTAATTGCCTGCTTGCGATTGCACGCTTGAAAAATTGCGCAATCGCAGAACCTGACAAAACAAGGACGGGATGCGCCGTTACGCAGGGCGTGTAAGCAGGTGCGCGCGCAGGTGGATCACAAACTCTTCGATTGTTCTTGGCACGGATGGCCGAGGTCGACATTTTGCCCAGTGTGCGCTGCCACGTGCACTGGCACACCTAGCGAACGCTGTGCGCGTCTCAAACCTGGCGCGCCTGGCACGCTGCGCTTGGACACCTGGGGCACTTGGCACGCGTGACGCACCTCGCAAGCGTTGCACACCTGGCGTCCGTTGTGGTTCCCAAGCGGTGCGCATCCGATGGCGACCTCTGCCTATACTGATGTTCGGGTACACTCAGACGTTGGGACGGCAAGTGGGAGCGACCGAAACAACTTATGGCGTTCCCGTAAGGAACTTCGCCCTTCCCCACACACCCTCCCCTTGGGCTGGAAGGGGGAGGCCGCGAAGCGTTAGAGCCCATGATGTGGACTCGAAAACCCAGAATGGCCTCCACGATGGCTGAATGACAAGGTCTTTTGCGGCACCCACTTCGAAGGTCCTTTGTGCTCGCCTCATGTGCAGAGGGGCATCCAAATCGAAGCGGCGTTTGAAGTCTGCCTGCCTGATGAGACATGGACGACCGCGTGCTCCGCCACGGATGAGCACACGCCTGCACAAGAGTGTCGCATGCAATCGCGCACAAACACATTACTGATCCGATGCATGTGTCCCTACATATACAAAAATATACAGAGAGAGATATGCTAGCCAGCGTGGGCCCTAAGCAGTGTGCTTCTACCAGCATGTGTTGTGCACTCTAGGTGGGGCGACACATATATATACAGATATAAGTCGCGTTAAAATTAACGTGACACATTCGGGGAACGAGAACCCTGACTACGAAGGTCATCATACGCTTCTGACCCTTCATCCCCATCCCCCATCCCCCTCCTACTCCCCAGCCTCCCCCTCTTCCCCCCCCCTCCTCCTCCTCCTCCACATCCTCCTCCTCCTCCTCCTCCTCCTCCTCATTCCTTCCATCCAACCCCCATCCACTCTTCCATGCAGCCTTCATCCTTTCTACTCCCATCCACCCTCATCCTTCCGAACGTCCCTCCGTCCATCCAATTTCCGTTCATCGCAACCGGACCGACTGCATCCTTCTCTTCCTCGTCCTCCCCTTCCTGCTTCTCTTCGTTACCTTCCTTCCTCTCTCCTCCGCCCTATTCATTCCTCCTCCTCCTCCTCCTTCTCCCCCTCATCGTCTTCCTCCTCCTCCTCCTCCTCCTCCTCCTCTCCTCCTCCTCCTCATCCTCCTCCTGTTCCTTCCCCCTTTGGCCCGTGACCCCATCCAGACCCATCCCTCCATCCAGCCTCTCTCCATCCCTTTGTCCACCCCCCGCTCCATCAACTTGCGCACCACCCCTTCCATCAATACAGCATGAGCGCCTCCCTCCATCCAACCTCATCCCTCAATGACGCCTAGATCCATGCCTCCCGCCCTCTCCCCACCAATTCCCCATCCATCATCCATCCGGCTACCCCCCCTCCAACACACGCCTCTACAGTGAGGGCATGAACCTAAGAAACGATACATAAGGAACGAAACTCCTTCTTCCAAAGTAAGTCCATGAAGTCCGACGGAACGGCCGAACACCTTATCTAGCGGCGTTCCGCCAAGATTTGTTTATGCGATTCGACCCCCGCGCCCTCTGCCAAACTACCAAAGAACGCCCGCCCCCTCCTCCCCCGCCGCTCCAAAATCGAACGCAAAAGCGCAGCCTGCGAATAACGCGTTGGGAGCCAACATGGAGCCACACAATGTAAACCGACACAAGGATGGCACGTGCCACCCCGCAAACCGCTTGAGAAAAACCAGCCGTTTCACTTGTATTCTGGGAGCCAACAACATGAAACCATACAATGTGAAACGACAAGGTTGACACGCGTCACCCTGAAAACCGTGTGAACAAAAAACAAATGTTGCACTTCGGAGCCAAATCGAGCCATACAGTATGAAACGACATAAGGGTGACACGTGTCACCCCGAAAACCGTGTGAGAAAAATCAATCGTTTCACTTGTATTCTGGGAGCCAACATGGAACCATACAATGTGACACGACTCAAGGGTGACACGCGTCACCCCGAAAACCGTGCGAAAAACACTAAGTGTTGCACTTGCACCCCGGGAGCCAACATGGAGCCGTACAAAGTGAAACGACATAAGGATGACGCGCGTCACCCCGAACATCCTGCGAAAAACACCAATTGTTACACTTGTATTCTGGGAGCAAACGTGGAAACATACTACAGTGTGAAACGGCACAAGGATGGCACGTGTCACCTCGAACACCGTGTGAGAACAAACAATGTCTACACTTGTATTCTGGGACCAACACGGGGCCGCACAACGTGAAACTACACAAGGGTGACACGTGTCACCCCGAAAACCGTGTGAGAAACACCAATTGTCTCGTGAATTTTGGGAGCCGGCATGGGGCCATACAACGTGAAACGACACAGGGGTGACACGCGTCACCCCGAAAACCGTGTGAGAAAAAACCAATTGTTTCACGTGTATTCTGAGAGCCAACATGTAGCCATACAATGTGAAACAACACAAGGGTGACACGTGCCACCCCGGAAACCGAGAGAGAAATTCGCCGGCCCAACGGGCCAGAGGCGTGCTAAGGTCTCCGGTAACTGGTTAACAGTATCTCTAGTTCGCGCGCGCGGGGCGGCCCCTGGGGGTCCCCGGACGAAAAGTACCCCGACCGACCCCCGGGCGATCCCCGGGAGACTCCCCCAGAGCGCTCCAGGAGCGCTCCAGGAGCGCACCAACAGGGCTCCGAGACGTCCCCGAAACCCTCAAGACGGGTCCAGATGCCCCCAAGAGGCTCCCAAGATGGTACACAAGGGTTCCGAGATGCCCCATGATCGCTCCAAGACGCCCAAGATGGCCCCCAGACGCCCCAAGAGGCCTCCAAGAGCACTCCCAAAAGGGCCCCCGGAGGCAAAATTCATTGCTTTTCCTTAGGTTTTTGAAAGATTTTGGAGCTTCCACCTTTTCGGCTCCCCGACGCCCCACGACGGCCCAAGAGGCCCCCAAGATCGCCCCAAGAGGGCCCAAGAGGCCCCCAAGAGGGCCCCAAGATGGCCCCAGAGGGCTCGAAGACGGCCCAAGAAGCCTCCAAGACGGTCCAAGAGGGCCCCAAGAACGCCCCCAAAGGGGCCCCAGAGAGGGAACACGAAACAACATTTCGAGCCCTCGGCCCTAAGAAGCCCCTACGAGGCCCCAAGAGGCCCCTAAGAGGCCCCAAGAGGCCCCCACGAGGCCCTCAGGAGGCCCCCAAGAGTCCCCCAAGCGGCCCCAGGAGGCCCCCCAAATGCCCCCCCGAGCGCCCCAGGAGTCCCCCAAGCGGCCCCAGGAACCCCCAAAGCGCCGCATTGACACCAGGCCCTCGGGCAAACGGCAGACATGAGACTGTATGGGCCGGCGGAATGAGCGAAGCGATTAAATAAACAAATGTGACACTTGTATTCTGGGAGCCAACATGGAGCCATACAGCGTGAAACGACATAGGGGTGACGCGTGTCAGCCCGAACACCGCGCAAGAAAAAACAAGTGTTGCACTTGTATTGTGGGATAACCAACATGGAACCATACAATGTGAAACGGCACAAGGGTAACACGTGTAACCCCGAAAGCCGCCCGAGAAAAAAAAACAATCGTTTTACTTGTATTATGGGGGCCAACACGCCATACAATAAGAAACGAAACAGGGGTGACACGTGTCACCCCGAAAAACTGTGTGAGACACGCCAATTGTTTCACTTGTAGTCTGGGAGCTAACATGGAGCCATACAGTGTGCAACGACACACAGGTGACACGCGTCACCCCGAAAACCATGTGACGCACGCCAACTGTGTCCCTATTATTCTGGGAGCCAACATGGATCCACACAATGTGAAACGACACAAAGGTGACACGTCTCGACCCGAAAACCGTGATAAAAAACAACTATTGCAAACTGCATTCTGGGAGCCAATAGAATGCGAAACGACACCAGGGTGACACGTGCTACCCCGAAAACCGCGTGAGAAAAAAACAATTGATACTAGAAACATCGCGCGGGCTTCGCGCGCGCTCAAGTTCTAGCCCAGGCCGGGGGGGGCGCTGGAAGATCTTGGACAGCGCTATCAAGAACAGGCGCGTGACATGGTCTTGCCTCCTGGGCCTCTTGGGGACCTCTTGGGTCTCCATGGGGGCATCTGAAGGGCTTCTGGGGAGTTCTCCGTGCTTCCTCAATTTGCTGTTGGAGGCACCCCTTGGGTGCTTCTTGGGGGGCGTCTTGGGGCTTCTTGGGGTCCCTTGGGAGCATCGTCAGGGTTCTCCGCGAAGTCGGAAGGTGACGTTCTGCAATCTGAAGCCGTCATTGGCCGTCTTGGCTGCGTGGAGGCCCGACTTGAGGGCGCCTGGGGCCATACTGAGGCAATCCGGAAGCCTCCCAGGGGCCTCCTGCAGACAGTTTTGATGCATCGAGGGCACTGTTGGGCAATCTGGGGGCCCCTTGTACGTCTCCTTGGGGCCTTTTGGGGCCACTTGGGAGGCTTATGGGGGCCTCGTCGGACCACTTGGGGACTCTTGGGGCCTTCTCTGGGCCTCTTAGGGCGGAAGACTCTGCTGTTGGGTTCGCGCTCCCATTCTTGGGCCTCTCTTGGGACCGTCTTGGGGCCCTCTCGAGCCGTCTTGGGCGCCTCAGGCACCGTCTTGGGGCCTCATGGGCCGTCTTGGGGCCCTCTTGGAGGCCTCTTCGGCTATCGTGGAGCGGTCTTGGGGGCCTCTTGGGCCGTCGGGATGCCAAAAGGCTGAAACGCTAAAATGCACCAACAACCAAAAGAAAATCTATGATTTTGGCTTCTTGGGGCCCTTGCGGGAGTGCGGGCCATCCAGAGGCCATCTTGGGCGTGTTAGAACGATGACTCCGCGATAGCAGGCCTCCTGGAGGCCTCTCGCATAGTAGGCTTCCTGGAGGCCTCTCGCGGCCCTTTTCATCTGTGTTGGGGCTGTCTTGGGCGGTCTGGAAGCGTCCCTGGCGCCCAGACACCCCCATGGCGCGCCCCCCCCCGCCATACATACATGCATGCATGCATACATACATACAGACAGACAGACAGACAGACAGACAGACAGACAGACAGACATACATACATACATGCATGCATGCATGCATGCATGCATGCATACATACATACAGACAAACAGACAAACACACATACACACATACACACATACACACATACACACATACACACATACACACATACACACATACATACATACATACATACATACATACATACATACATACATACATACATACATACATACAGACAGACAGACAGACAGACAGACAGACAGACAGACAGACATACACACATATATATACATACAGACAGGCAGACATACATACATCCATACACACACACATATATATATATATATATATATATATATATATATATATACATACACAAGACTGCAGTTTGCAGGCGGAATGGCAGGAAGGTCAAGCCGACAATTTAGCGAAAACTCCTGGTTGCCTTTTCCGGCATCGCCGCTATAATGATGTTATTCGTTATCCTTCCTCCATGCTTATTGTTCCTTATTTTCGCCATACCCTGCGCATTCTCCACAACCTCCTCAGCTCTTTTTTGCGGAAGCTCCTCCTTGGAGAGCCTCTAGGGGCCTCACAAAAATTGTTTCGGGCTTTCTTAAGGCCTTCTGGAGGCCTCCTGGGCGTATTCTGGGGGCCTCCGGGGGCTTCCTCGGGCCACCCTGCCTCCAACCGCCGTCTCCCTGAACGACCGAATCACGATTTGGAATTCTTCGGAGGGTGGCGTTGGGCCATCTTGGGCCGCCATGGGGCTCTCTGAGGGCCATCTTGGACCCGTGTTGTGCCGTTTTGGAGCTCTTGGACTGCCTGGAAGCCCTTTCGGATGGTTGTGGGGCGATCTGGGAGCCTCCCAGGCGGCTTCGGACGCCCAGAAGACCGCCGTCTTGGAGCGTCGGGAAGCCGAAAAGAGGAGAACCCAAAAATTCACCAAAAACCATCAGAAAATCAATGATTTTTGCCTCGAGGGGCCTTCTGGGGAGTGCTCTTGGAGGCCTCTTTGGGGCCGTCCTGGAGGCCTCTTGGGCCATCTTGAGGTCACGTCGGTCCCTCTTGGAGCGCTCTTGTGCTGTCTTGGGGGTCTCTGGGACGTCTCCGATGACCCCCCTGATCGCCCTAAATGTGCTGGGAAAGCTTGGCAAAACGCCTTGCGAGGCCCGGTGGCCGCTTCGAGGCCCGTCCGGAGGGCCCCAAAAAAGCCCCAGGTCCCGGGAGTCCGGTTTTTTGGGGGGGGGTGATGGGTTTTCCCCCCGCCCGGGCTTATAAAAATATAGGAAGAGGAATATGTGCAACTTGAAAGTATATGCATATACACGTGTACATTTACATATGTCTATGTCTGTGTCGTCGGGGGCCTCTTAGAAAGAATTTTGAAGCCTTTTCGGTGCCGTCTTGGGGCCTCTTGGAGCCTCTCTTGGGCTTCTTGGGGGCCTCTTGGGGCCTCTTGGGGGCCTCTTGGGGCCTCTTGGGGGCTTCCTGGGGGCCTCTTGGGGCCTCTTGGGGGCATCTTGGGGCGGAGAGCTTGATTTTTCACTTCGCGTTCCCTCTCTTGGGCCCCTCTTTTTTTTTGATTTTTTTTTCCTGGGCGACACACATTCTGCACAGGCAATATGAAAATGTCACATTGATGTTAACCTAATTGTCCCTCTTTGGAGGCTGTGTGAAACTTACGAAAAACTGGTCTGGACCGTGTTCGTCATTAGGAGAGAAGGTAAGACCAGGAGAATAAGAAGATGGAAGTGAAGCGAATGCTGGCATATACGCGCAACGATGTGCAACTAAATCAGTGACCCGCTCCGCGGCAACGTGGATAAGCAAAATACAGAAGAAGTATATAAGAAGTTATGCAAGCGCGTTCGCGGGTCTCGCAACCTATCGTTGTGCGGGGCGTCAAGCGGGCCACAGCCTAGCATATCAAGTGTCGTCTTTCGCTGGTGCCTGGCAAGCATCACGGAGGGGCAGAAAACTCGCCGGGCGGCAGTGAGCAAGGCGGCTCGGCAGAACAACGGACGAGGCGCTGCGGCACAGGTCTTTGCCCCGACTCTCACCTGGGTCAGGCGGCCGGGACAACAACTGGTTCCCAATTGTGCGAGACATGGAGACCCAACCCATGCTTACAGAATGGACGGAACTGGTGTCCGGGACAGGCGGCACCTTTTTCCGGAACGGCCGAAGCGTACCTCCGGAAGGCGAAGCCTGCTTCCAGAACGCTGGAACTGCTTCAGGGAAGCTGAAGTAGCTGCTCCTCCTCGTCCTCGTCCTCCTCCTCCACCACCTCCACCTCCTCCAAGGAAGGGCGAGGAGGGCAAAACCCTGCCAAGAAAGCGTGTCAACCCGCCCGCAAAGGCAAGCCTACTTCAAGCCGTTCGCGACACGAGTGCCTCTGGGCGTGCATAGGCGACGGCGAAGCTTTGTCGCCAAGTCGCTAAATGCGCGTTGACCACTCCAGGCTCTTGCAGCGATAGAATCCAGGCCCAAACCCCCCAATCCACACTATCTCACGTGGGCAACACTGACGCACGCGAACGCACGCGCGCCTCGCGAGTCAAGACCAGCAAGTATTGAGACATATGAAGACCACAACGGAGATTGGGGCTACAGAGGAGTGCCCCGTGCCCAAGAATGCGGACCATAAAGGACATGCAAGTAATCCTCCTCCCCCCCGCCACCACCGCCACCTCCCCCACCACCCCCTCGATCACTGGTCCGCATTCGGTATCGCAAAACTGAGGACTATGTCGGCTAGAACGTCGTAATAGTCCAGTGTCATATGAAAACGGTCCTTGTGCATGCTCTGAAGTTTGGACATTTTATAGGCATCCAAAATATACACGTTGGGGAATTCACTGGATATCATGTCGGTCACCGCCTCGTTCCACTGCGCGCACCGCGCATTGGTAATGAACGGCGTCTGAACGGGATCCTCGAAAATGTGATTTATCAAGATCCAGACAATCACGGTCACCGAGCCTTGAAAAGCGAGCAACTGTTCGCGCACAGACTCTACATAGTCGTCAGCTGACATGGTTTCAATGTAGAAATCATGTAAACCCTGGTTCGTAATGATGGCGTCCACGCTGCCGTACCGCTTCTTAACATAAGCGGCAATGGTGCCCTGAGTGGTATTTGTCTCGTTAGTCTGCAATGAAACATCTATCGCGTATTCCACGGGAACGTACTCAAAATCCAGCACGCACTGCTTGCTAACATTGCCCGAAGCAACAGAAACCTGACCACGATAACACCTCAATGACGGAGTGTCTTGGCAATAAGGGTGGGTAAGACCTTTGAAGAGCGGGGCGAAACCTTGCGGCGGAGGCACCCACTCTGGCGCTGGATCCAAACCTAGGAATTCCATCCTGTCGCAGTCATTCTTAGAGACGGCCGTGTCATGCCAAGCACTATCGAAAATAGGGCGCAGCCTGCTATACAATAGGTTCATCGTCGAATCCCCCAGAAATAAGAATCTGGAGTGCGTCACGTCGCTGGCGTCCTCTCCGCAGTGTCTCGCATAACTGCTCCATGAGAAGTTCATGGGGCAAGAAGACGACTTGTCAGGGTGCCACGTCAATGGGTTCCCGTGCCACCCGCCCCCGCCAGAGCATACTTCATGGGAAGAGGAATTGGCCGTGGCTGCGGTGCTGGAAGTGGTCGCACCGTCGGAACATGTGGCATCCACGTAGACGGCGCCGATATAGTAGAAGCCCAGAGACCAAGAGATCAGGGCCGTGATAGCGAGCAAGGGTAATAAGATCCCGAAGATATTGGAGGTTTGTTTCGGGCGACGCTTGTGAAGGGGAGCCTCCATCAAGTGGTACGTGGCCATTGCGAGTGCTAAGGTTATGGCAAAAACAATCACCATGGACGTGGGAGACTTGAGACATTCGGTCCCCCGCATAAACACTAGTACTGGCCAATGCCACAGATAGAGGGCATATGACAGATTACCGATGTACACCAAGAACTTGCTGCCAAAGCACGCATTTAGAATCGCATTCGGTGAACTACCTGCAGCTATAAAGCAGAGCGTCCCGCCAACACTCAGCGACGCCCAAGGGAAGGGAAACCCCCAACCACTTGGCGTGAACAACAGCCCAAAAATGAGCAACAACAACGATGCAACCTGCAATATTATATACCTGACGCCGTTCGCAATGGTGTCCGTACCGGGTGCATAGTTCGGCATCATATGAAACACGCGCCAAGCGCCAACTCCCAAAACCGGGACGGTAATATATAGAACGCGACTTGGGCGTTGGAATAAGTCGAGCAGGTGAGGATGCAGGACACAAGCATGGAAATGACAGCGCACACTGCGATAACCCAAGCGGGCGACTGAAGCTTTCGCGCCCAGCTCAGCAGGAAAGGGAAGAGTACATAGAACTGCTCTTCAACACCCAATGACCACAAGTGCATGAAGGGATTGAGCTCCTGATGGCTGTGCCCGTTTTCAAAATAATCTAGCTGCAGACTGGCAAAGTAATTATTGGACAAGCCCACAAGCCCAAGGAGACCTGATATGTAGTAACCATCCATGCCTGGAGAGGAAGGTAGCATGAGCACAGAATTGAGGATGGTGGTGATCAGCACGGTCGCCATGAGGGCAGGTGCCAAACGCCACATGCGCCGGCCATAGAAGTTTAATGTGTCCACGCATGTATCTTCACAGCCATGAAGTAAAGAAACTGTGTTCACGTAGCCAGATGGTAAAAAACATATCGACTCCAGCAAACCCCCCAGGAAGCCATGCAGGATTTGCATGAAAAAAGATGACCGCAAACACAGCCAAAGCACGCAAACCGTCGATGTCATTACGCCGCTGCGGGCTGGCACCAACGTTCGGCTTCCCTTCATCATCAATAACGACTTTGTCTAACAAGGCCTCACCATCATAATTGTTCTCTGAGGCCATTGAATCAACGCGATGATGCAAATAGCTCAGGTAATTTGTCTCTTGGTTGTTGCTCTTCCTGGGCCAGAGGCAAAGCTGCTTGGGCCTGGGGCCTACTCGACTTGAGCCAAAATTTCTTGAGCCAAAATGGCTACGGACCTCTCTTGGGCCCCTCTTGGGCCCCTCTTGGGGCCTTCTTAGGACCCTCTTGCGCCGTCTTGGGCGTCTCTGGGGCCGTCTCGGGGCTCTCTTGGGCCGTCTTGGGGCCCTCTTGGGGGCCTCTGTGGCCGTCTTGGAGCGGTTTTGGGCGCATCTTGGGCGGTGCTTTAGCGCCGGAAACAGCTCTCGGGAGGCCTCTCGGAGCTCTCTTGAGATCTCTTGGAGGCCTTCTGGGAGCCTGGAGAGCCGCCTTCCTGGGTTGCTTGGAGCGTCTTTGGCCTTTCTTCTACATTCTGGGGGCTTTTTGGGGTCGTCTTGGTCTGTCTTTGGGCATTTTGGGAGCTCCCCGGGAGGCCAGGAAGCGCGGTACCTCAAACGTAACCCAAGTGTGAGCGAGGTCGAGGACGCCCGGGGAGGGGGCCCGGCGTGTCTGTTTATATCATACTGAAAAAAATCGCGCGTGCTCGAGTTCTGGCTAGCTTCTTGGGTCCTCCTCGGAGCATCCAGGACTGCTTCTTGAAGTCGTCATGGGACCTTCTTGGCATGTGTTCGGGGGCCTCTTAGAAAGAATTTTGAAGCCTTTTGGGTGCCGTCTTGGGGCCTCTTTTGGGCTTCTTGGGGGCCTCTTGGGGCCTCTTGGGGGCCTCTTGGGGGCTTCCTGGGGGCCTCTTGGGGCCTCTTGGGGGCATCTTGGGGCGGAGAGCTTGATTTTTCACTTCGCGTTCCCTCTCTTGGGCCCCTCTTGGGGCTTTCTTGGGACCCTCTTGCGCCGTCTTGGGCGGCTCTGGGGCCGTCTCGGAGCTCTCTTGGGCCGTCTTGGGGCCCTCTTGGGGGCCTCTTTGGCCGTCTCGCAGCGTTTTTGGGAGCCTCTTGGGCGGTGCTTTAGCGCCGGAAACACGAAACGGCGAGAATGCAAAACACATGGACAAAAACCAATGTAAATCAACGATTTTGCCCTCTCGGGGCGCTCTTGGGCGGCATTTTAAAGGTCTCTTGGGGCGTCTTGGGGGCCTCCAGGGCAGTCCAAAACGCATCGTGCGTCGCCATAGACCCCTGGACCTTAGGGGTGTCTCGAGACCGTCTGGAGCCGCCGGGAGTGCTGTCTGAAGGCTCCCCTGGGCGATTTTACGCTTCCCAGAGGCGGGCCTGGGCCCCAGTCCCCACATTTGCGGTCGAGATTCCAGCCCTCGGCCCCCGAGCCCGGTGCGCCGTAAAAAATATAGATTGTGCCAGCGCGCAATGCGATCGTGGCTTCGGGTCTTCAGCTACGGGCTGTTGATGAATGCGGCTAGCACGTGCGGTTGGACATATTCACTTCGGCCATAATGCACATCACAAGACGCAAGCTTCGCATATACAATACCAGCGCCGCTAAAGTTCACCATACCGACTGCAAACAGCAAAGCAGCACCTTCACTACTCACAACTATATTCGTGCATGCCAACAAGTCGATGGACAAGAAGAAGTGCGAAGCGCGACTATCACAAGGCAACAAATCGGAGATGACATGTGCAGGTATTGGCACTGTTTTGAAACTCTTCCCGAGAATCTGCATCGTGAACGACACGTACCTCAGAGCCTGGCGGCAGACATGGAATCACTGAAAATGCCCTCTATGCAACACGCTCGCATTCGACGGTAAGGAAATTGGCTGCAACTGAGGGCACAACGACGAGATTCAGACAACTCGTTACACATAGACGTACCCAATCTGCAGGCAAAGACTGGAACCTCGGGTACGGTGCAAGGCTCTCTTTGGCGCCTGGATACACGAGGAGCACTGGAGGAGTAGCCACCGAAAGACATTCGCAACATCGAGCCCCTTCCGGTAACTCGAGGACCTTGTCCCAAACTTCTGACTGTACCCAAGACGCTCTGCAGGACAAGGAGGCGAGGATGGATTCGTTCGGGCCCGCACTACGAGCCGCTTTGCTGGACCCCCAGGGGCGCATCAAAGCGGCGACAATTACGCATCACCCATGGTGGCGAGGTCTGTTTTGGGTTTACGTCGGACACCACTCCGCTGCATTCCCAAGTGCAAAAATTTCGACACTTGCGCGCTTAGCAGCACCCACAGAAGTGAGATCCGGTTTGACTCTGCACGAACGTCTCTCCGCTGACCCCCACCCCCAGGAGAACGCGGCGGGAATCGCACGCCTGGCAGCCCCCAGGAAAGCGATGTCTAGTGTGGGTCTGCGTGAGACGACACTGTGCTGGACCACCACGATGCGGAACATTGGCGTCAGTCGCGCGCATTGCAGCGCCCAGGAAAGCGAGTTCCAGTGTGGGTCTGCGTGACTGATGCGCTGGCACCTCATTACAGTTCCCGTATTCATTGCCCGCAACAAGCAGCACACATTGAAAACCTTGTTTTTCAGTTGCTCAAGGTGGCTGCGTCCTCTGGCGGCACCTCTAATAAACTGCTTGCGGCGCCATTTGGGCAACATCTGGGAGAACAGAAAGATACCGATACCACTACTCCAAGACCTCTCCCAGGGTGCGTTGAGACCAAGATGTCAGAGCGCATCCAGCCGTCGCGACGAGGTACAGGCACATGTAGCGGTGGAATATTTTCCTAGGTCTCCTAACCTTGCGCGTCTTGCCCTCTGGAGGCTACGTTGGAGAAGGGCAGCTGTCTGGCTCAGGTCGCGACGCGCGAAGAGCGATTACAATCGCACCCCACTTCTGAGACTTGGGGCTACGTTGGGGCCTGGGCCCTCCTGGTGCTGCTTCGCAGGCACTGCGCTTCGCCGCGCTTCGCTGCGAGATCCTCGCAATCTGTTATACACCAGAACGCCCCTGCGCTGCAACAAACGCCTGCCCAGACTAATGTGATTGCACGGCTGGCTCAGGATTTGCTCTTGGATTCTGTAGTTTCTAGCGGACCTCGGCCATTCGTACTCAGCCGTTTGTCTCTGGCCACGCGGGAAAGCAAGGAACCTGGAAATCCTGGAACTTATCATTATCGTCACTTCTTGCTCCTCTGGGTATCCCCTGGCGCTTGCTGCTCCGGAAGCTTCTCTATCCCTGTCGGCTAGGCGATCGACGGATTATTCACACCCAGGCTCACGCCCCAGCCCCTCGAAAAGGCCAGAACGGCGGCACGGGTAAGATCGTGCCTCTGGAGCCAGGTTGCTCATCAAATCTCAAGAGGGGGTCCAACTAATACACCACACCCATTCACGGCAAATCTGAGTTCTAAAGAAGGGGCCAACATGTAAACACACCCCCATTAAGTTTTAGGACACATGATATGATCCTTCCTCAGCTCCGCTGCCCAGAAAAGGCAGCTGATATTATGACCAGAATTTACCCTGCCCAGCACCACGTTGGCTGGGTGAAAGGCGAACGGCTTTCCCGAAGTTGGTGGCGGCCCCCAGGATGAGTCACTTCGTAAATGAGCACATATTCCCCGAAGTATGTTCGCCAGATGAAGTGGACCGGGGCGACGACGACAACGCCGACGAACTACGGATGCCCCATGGGGCGGGGGACAACGCAAAGCCCGACGACGACGACGAAGGACAACGACAACCGTCTGAAGAACACACTGTGAAACAACACAAGAAGGACACGTGCCACCCCGAAAATCATGTAACGGAAAACCAATTGCTTCACTGGGCGCCAAAATGGGACCGTTCCGTATGAAACAACATGAGGATGACACGCGCCACCCCGAAAACCGTGATCGAAAAAATCGTTCCTCTGAGAATCGGGGTAAGATGACAAAGGACAAAAGATTTCATGTTCACTTTGCTCAGGGAGAACGGAGGCGAGATGAGACATCGATAAGACAAATATCCGTTAAGCAAAACCATTCGATCAGGAATAGGAAGGGAGGAGGAAGGCCGAGGACGGACGACGACATATCGCCCGCGCCCCCCAGCGCGCTCTTTTTCTCTCCTGCCAGCCGAGTTCGGCTGGTTTGAGCAGTAACACAGCTGCAGAAACGCAGCGTCAGTAAACGCGGACAGTTCGTTGCATGCAATCTAAGTTATCTTCTAATTGAGTATTAGGCGGAGAGGAGCACATTTACTCCCCCCGCGGCGGGCCGCGCAGAGCCCATCCAGCCACAGCGCCCCCAGCCTGTACATATGTACAACCACCGGAGCCAACCCCAAAAAGCTTTTACGGCTCAACGGTGGCTGCCAGGGGGCCAAGGGCCGAAGAGGCTCGACGTTTCCCACTATAGAAAATATGAATAGTTTCTCTCCGCTGGCCCGGCTAAGCCGACCAGTAGAGATGCCCGCGCCCATCACGCTTAGCGCGTGGGTAAAGTATTTGGTGTGCGCATGCCGCGAACGGAGTCGCGCGGGCCGCGCTCAGTTGAGGCCCTCCCCCCACGGATTCGGCGAACTCTCTCGCCTCGGCGGCGCCGGAGGCGGCGGGTTTGAAGTCGCCGATCCTCCCGTATGTCCTTCCGTGCCACGTGGCGTGCGAGAACGCCCTCTCTGCGTCGTTATTTCCAACCTGTGCCGCTCTCGGCGGAGAATGATGATTATGCTCCCACTTCGACAGCCAGGTCCAGTAAGGCAAATTGTACCAATCGTCGTCATTGAGCCACGTGATCCTGTCCCGGTGGAAGTGGTATCCGACGAGGATTCCGTTCACGTGGGTCGGGTAGGACTGGTTGGGGTCGTATGCGGGGCGGTATCCTGCGGCGCTGCTGGCAGCGTCCGAGGCAGCGCCTGAGGCAACGTCCGCCGCCGCGGGCAGCGCAAGGCTAGCGGCATCATCGGCGGCCGCGGCAGAGGCATCATCCATGGCTGCATCGCGCGCGCGTTGGAAATTCGACCGATCCCTCGGGTCGGGATCTTGTAGGTCAGCGTCTCTGGTCGGCACGGCTGAGCCGGCGACAGAACGTGGGGGGCCGATAGCCTCCCCAGACGCCTGAGCATCTGAGATGCCAGGTCGAAGAGATGGCGTGCGAGACAAAGGTCTTGCCTTTGGTCCGGCAGGCGCACGTGGCCCCACGATCTCGGCTACGCCGTCGTGTTCAGGATAATTGCCCCTGCTGCTCATAAATTGCAATATGCTTCTGGCCGCAGTAGCTGCGGCGACACCATATAGGCCGCTAGCAGTGCGGAGAGGATCATCTTCCCTGTCCTGAAGATCGGTACCAGGGTTAGGATACTTATCCTGCAGCCAAGTTATGGCCTCCTGTATTACAGAACCGTGGCGACGGGCGTCATTCTGTACTCTCCGGCCCATTGTGCGGGCCCATGTCTCTATAATGTCATCCGTCTTGACAGCCGCCCGAATGCGGCAGTCCAAGGCATATGCGTCGGTTCTTCTCTTTGGCTCAATCTCGTCGGTGCTCGCCATTTCGGGGCGAATGATTCGCCCCGGGTAACCAATAAAGTGGTCCTCTGATATAGAATAGCAAATTATCTCACGAATAATTGCGGAAATCCTTACGGGTCGACGGCCCAGTTCCATGTTTTGCGTTGTTATCAACCAATTGTCATTCACTATTCTCCTGAGGATCGCCGGGATCACATAATCCTCCGTTCCAGTCAGGGTGACCCTGCCGGGCGTAGTGGGGTTCGTTCCCGTGTGTTCAATTATGTAATAAGCGGCAAACTCCCGAAGATCGTTCTCGAACAATCTTATCTTCATCAGACGGTCCCCATGCTGAAAGTACACGTGTCCCTCGGGTTCTTCAAGTGTAAGGAGTCCATCAATTATCGACGCGGCCTTAGGCCCGCCGATTGCTTTGAGGTCCAGATCCATTTGTGTCTGCTCCCGTCTCCTCGCGGCTGAGCCGGAGGCATGTCGCAATACTGGAACTATAAGGCGATGGTCCCGACACATGCCTATCCTTCTTGCAACGGAGTGTGAACTGCGAGTCGGTCGCGCTCTAAAGTTGTTCTCCCAGGCGACCGGTAACCTGGCAGGAGGGTTGACATTGTCGTCGTTGTTTCCAATATTTTCAGGACTAACGCCAAACCATGACATGTCCAAATTTATGGCATCGTCTACTGTGGCAAGTGTAGGTAGAAAGAGGTTTCCTCTCCTCATGTTGTTGTACCATCGTTCCCAACCAGTTCTAAGTGTAATCAAATCATCAGGCTCATCAGGCCAATGAAATGCTTGCAGTGCTGGGCAGGATCTGGGGCGAGCGTACTGATCAAAACCAATCGCCCACAACTTTGGCCACCATTTGTTAATAGCCGGGGTTTTTCTGTGCACATTTGTGGCCGAATATTCTAAACACGATACAAATCTCGTGACCAAAGGCCTTAAGTATTCAAAGAGAGGGGCATGTCGCGCCGGAGGCTGAGCCTCGGCGTTCGCCGGGATCCAAGCTGGAAAGTTTCCTTGCTGACTATTGCCAAGTATAGTGCCAGCAGCGGCCATTGTGGTAAAGTTGGCTATCCATCGTCGCTCCTGCTGGTTGTTGTTGGCGACGTTTTTCGCAACGTTAGCAGAAGCTCTCGCTTGTCTCCTTATACGCGCATTAATATACACACGACGATCCCATGGCAGAGATCCTTCGTCTTCCACAATTATCCAAATACCATGTGCCTCAAGGGATTGCGGGATAGTTTGGTATCTCCATGTAATCGTGCGATACCC